GGCCCGTTCGAGCAAATCAATGAACAACAGGAGGACAGTGGCAGTGAATTGGTTGCATTTGGGACCACACCCAATAGTACTCAGGAATTAATTCCTGGTGGTGCTCAGGGAACCATATATAATGCTGGGGAACTGAACCCATCGGCTGCATGCAAGGCAAGGGCCCCACCCACTGTACTATCGCTCTTGCCCATGCAGTGGAATTTTTTCTTTTAATTATTTTATTTTATTGAATAACCGTGAGAAAGTTACAAGCTTTCATGTCTGGGTTACAATCACACAATGATCAAACACCCATCCTCCACCAGTACACATTCCCCATCACCAATCTCTCCAGTATACCCCTCTTCCCCATCCTCCCCACAGTTGAATTTTAGTGCAGAAAACATCATCTCCATCATCAGATTTCTAACACACTGGCAGCGAGTATACAGTTGGTGCTCAATAAATGCTATTAATAGACGGCCAGCGCAGTGGACACTGGCAATTTTCTAAGAACCCTTTCTAGATGGACAAATGTACCAGCAGGAGTGGGTGGGGAGGGTAGTTTCTCTTCCCTCTGCATGATTTGTTTAGGATGTTCCAAATGTCAGACCGGTGATGCATGCAAGGGAGAGGGGCTTATTCTAACTAGATCAGGGTGAGAAGCAGTACAGGATACTGTCTCCATGGTGCACACCCCAGACAGTCTGGAAACAAACAAACCCATCCAGAGCAGGAAGACTGACAAAAAACAAACAAAGCAGAGAGATGGAAAACTCCCGAGATGGGGTTGAGGGGAGAGGGATGACTGTGAAGAAAGTCAGGCAGGGGAGAGGAGAGGCAATGGCATAGGCTGGGTTTGGGTGAGGAACCAGTCACCATGGCAACAGGACAATACGTGCCATTGATTCGAAGCCAACAAGAGCCTCTGGACTTTGCAGAGGGAACAGGATCAGACTGAAGGGGCAGGTTCTAAAGGAAAACATCTGAAGCGAGCTCTTCAAACCACAAACGCCCCACCCACACCTGATGTAATCAGTTATCGGAATTTCATGAAATAATCAGAACCAACAGTTGGGCCAGAGAGGTAGTACAGTGGGTAGGGCATTTGCCTTGCACTTGGTTGGCCTGGAATCAATAACCCAGCACCACATACGGTCCCCTGAGCCTACAAGGGGTGATCCCTGCATGCAGAGTCAGGAGTAGCCCCAGGGTGTGGCCCACACCCCCCCCCCAATTAAAACATGAAATTTAAATAAAATAGGGGCCAGAGCAAAAATAGTACAGCGGGGAGGGCGTTTGCCTTGCATGCAGCAGACCCAGGTTCGATCCCCAGCATCCCATATGGTCTGAGCACCGCCAGGAGTAATTCCTGAGTGCAAAGTCAGGAGTAAGCCCTGTGCATCACCAGGTGTGGCCCAAAAACAAGTAATAATAATCGCTGTCACTGTCCTCCCGTTGTTCATCAATTTGCTCGAGCGGGCCCAGTAACGTCTCCATTGTGACACTTGTTACTGTGTTTGGCATATCGAATACATCACGGGTATATGATAATATATAAATTAAAGAAAATAGGGGAAAACAAGCTTTCATTGGAAAAAATGTTGCATGTTTGTATTAATGCTGGTATAAAAACTTGGGGGGTTGCCATAACCAGCAGTGCTCAGGGTGCTAGAGACAGAATCTGGGTCAGCCACGTAACTGTTCTGTCCTATTTGCCACAGACACATGCCTGGCAAGCATGAAAGTTCAAGTGTGGCTTCATCTTCCCACCTGCCCATTCCCACTCTCTCTGGTGAAAAGCAATTCTATGGCCCCCACCTCAGCCTGGGAGCTCTTAAAAACAGGATGGTTCTTCATTGTCTCTCTGTTCATCCTAGGCCCAGGGCCTGCCCACTGTGCTGTCAGGGATGGAGGGGCACAAACCCCTGGGGCTGGCCCGGATGGCTCGCCTCACCTCACTCTCCAGTGCCAAGCTGATGTGACCAGAGTGCTCAGAGCTAATTCCTGGCTCTGTGCTCAGGAATTGCTCCTGGCAGTGCTCAGAGGGCTCTGTAGGATGCTGAAGACCGAACCTGGGTCAATAGCACAGCAGTTTTTATTTTGTTTTGTTTTTGCTTTTTGGGTCACACCCGGCAATGCACAGGGGTTACTCCTGGCTCTGCACTCAGAATTACTCCTGGCGGTGCTCGGGGGACCATATGGGATGCTAGGAATAGAACCCAGGTCTGCTGTGTGCAAGGCAAACGCCCTTCCCGCTGTGCTATCACTCCAGCCCCTACAGCAGAAGTTCTTAAGCTAAGAACTCAATGACCAGCTCAATTCATAAGACAGGTTATGTCCACGTCTCCTACACAAGTCTGCCACCAACACTACCCCAGGCCAGTGATGATCCCCAGGGAGTCAATAAATCCAATGGACACTTCTCACTCTGACCATGGTCACTATGCAGCTCCCGCACTGCCCCATAGTCCCTCTAACACCAGGACTCTGCTCTGGGCCTTGCTCCCACTCCCTGGGGACAGCTCTCCACATGCTTGTCACGCCTGCCAGGCCATCAAACCAGCAAGGATACAGTAATAGCTGAAACACACTGGCATTTGTTCTGTGCCAGAGGTTACTCTAAAAGCCACTTATTTCAATCCTCAAAATCATCTTTAACTCAGTCTCCAACCACTAGCCCGAATGTGTATATGGGTTGGTTTTTGTTGTTGTTTTCTTATTGCTGTTGTTTTGGCTTTTGGTTTTTGTGTGTTTTTTTTTTGTGCTTTTTGGTTCACAGCCAGCAATGCTCAGGGGTTACTCCTGGCTCATGCACTCAGGTATTACTCCTGGCAGTGCTCAGGGAACCATATGGGATGCTGGGAATCAAACCTGGGCCGGCCACCCTACTTTTGCAAAGCAAACGCCCTACCCACTGTGCTATCTCTCCAGCTCCTTGTTTTTTTCTTAATTCAGTTTTTGGTCCACACCTGGCTGTGCTCAGGGATAGTGTTGGGGCTTAGGGGACCACACGGAGTACCAGATCAAACCCAGATCAGCCACGTGCAAGGCAAGCACTCTGCTAGGACTCCAGTGCCCAGAGTGATTTTGGGAGTGGGGGAGAGGTGCTCAGGAAACCATGCAGAGTGGAATCCAGGCCTCCCACATGCAAAGCATGTGATCCAGCCCTGAGTTATCTCCACAGCCAGCAGAGTAATTTTCCTGAAAACCAAGTTTTTCACCACCCCCATCCAGCTTAGTACCTTCTGATGACTGTGCCCTGTGCAGATTTTTTTTGGGGGGTGGGGAGGGGTGGGCAGTGCTGGGCAGTGCCCCTGCCCACTGTTCTCTCTCCATAGCCCTGAAGTTCCATGGGCCTGCCCCTTCCTCCATTTCTCTCCCGGTCTCTTCCTCAAGAACCCTCTGGGTTTTAAGCTCCTTCAGCGAGAACCTTGGTCTCCGCACTGCTGGCCCTGCGGCCTGGAAGGCTGTTCCTCCCTGTTGGGGCCACACCCCTGTGGCTGTTCCAAGGGTTCAGGGGAGCACTGAGTATCCCCACCTAGGGGAGCCAGGGAAGGCAGGACTGATGCTGACACAGATACCAGGATTCTGCCACTTCCGAGCTCTCTGGCCTTGGGCAGATTGATGAGCTCCAACTTCAGCTTTCATTTTGTTTCACAGTGCCTGGGGTTGAACTCGGGTACGAGGAACACGCTCAACCACTGAGTCTGAGCCACATCCCTGGCCCTCAATTGTCTGCTGTTTGGGTTAGAGATTAGTGCAAGGGGCCCTGGCTCAGAACCACAGTAACCTTTGCTGAACATCTTACAAAGCTCTTTTATGACATCACATAAAGCCACTGACCCCGAAATATGTCCATCCGCCCCCTTGGGCAAACTGTCCACTCCTAGGGCTGAGGGGCTCCGTGGCCTGGATCAGGCTGAAGCTGGTGTCTAGTATACACAGAGGCTTGGTGTGAACAAACAATGACCAGAAACTCAGCACCTTCAGTAATCCGGTGAGTGGCCACCTCGAAGAAGGGACTGTTTTGTTTGGGGGCCATACCCGCAGTGCTCTAGGGACCATGTGGTGCTGGGAATAAACCCAGGCACCTTGCATGCAAAGCATGTGCTTAGTCATTGAGCTCTCTCCCTGGAAAGTAAGATATTGGCTGGGGGGTGGGGGCAGGGAGGGGCTGGGGGTGCTTGTGCTGGGCTACAGCTCTGTGCTGGCTGGGGATTGCTGCTGCTGGTGCACAAGGGACCAAGCTGAGGGTTGAGCCTGGGCCTCCTGCTTGCAAATCACATCCAGAGAACGGGTCGGGAGGGGGCCCGTGAGACCCTGGTGGAGGAAGAGATGCACTGGTGGAGGGTGTGGGGTTGGAACATTGGATGCATAAACCCAGCCATGAACCGTTTTGTAAATCTCAGTAACTACAATTTTTTAATTATTCTTTTGTGTGTGTTGGGGTGGGGGGGCATACCCATCTGCACTCAGTGCTTACTCCTGGCTCTGAGCTCAGGAGCCACTCCTGGTAGTGTGCAGGGGACCATACATGGTGCTAGGGATCAAACTTGGCTCAGCCGTGTGCAAGGCAAACGCCCTACCTGCTATGCTATTGGTTCAGACCTAAAACTAAAAAAAAAATTTTTTTTTTTACTTTTTGGATCATACCCGGCGATGCACAGGGGTTACTCCTGGCTCATGCACTCAGGAATTACTCCTGGCAGTGCTCAGGGGACCCTATGGGATGCTGGGAATAGAACCTGGGTCGTCCCCAGGTTTGCAAGGCAAACGCCCTACCCGCTCCAGCCCCAAAAATCTTAAAAAAAAAAAAAAAGCCACGGAAAACAGAGCTGAAGACAGTTACAAAAGCGAGTTGGTGTTTAGGAAAATACCTTTTATTGTTTTGGAAATGTTCAAATATTCAATGTAAAATCCTGACAGGGGCTTTCTCACACCTTCAACGATCAGGGAGAAATGACGTAACCCCCTCCAGACAGAAACCCCCCCAGGCCCCACATAATCAGACAAGGCCGGGAATGGCCACGCCCCACAGGAAGGAGGACAGGGACAATGATTGGCAGCTCCCTGGGCAGCTAGTTTCTTCCGTGGCAAGCCCAAGCTGAGTGGGGATGAGTGGCCCATAGGTTAAGGGGCCCACAGAAGGCCCTGGACACCATCAAGGCCGCTTCGTGAGAAGAAGGGCGGACCCGCCACAGCACCCAGTCTCTGCACCCCAACAGGAGAGAGGCTGTGGACACAGGCGAGAGGTGCTCGTGTTTCCGAAACTTCCCCTTCCCTCAGTTCACAGAGACCATGTGTCAGGGCGATTTAGGGGGGAAAAAAAAAATCAGAACTTGCACACCTGACTCCCTTTCGGCAGGAAGCAGAGCCGGTTGGCAGCATGCAGGAGAACCGACGTGAGCAGCTCACTCCCCAAGTGCCCCCAGCCCCAATGCCTTCCTCTGCGACAGGACAGGCCCGAGTGTAGATCTGAAGAAAGTGTGGAAATGTTTTGCACTCACACTCAAAGGCTGCAGGGACTCCAAAAAAAAAGATCCCCCTGGTTTTTATGAGAAGCATGACTGTTCCTCTTGGCTGTCTGGAGTCAAAACAAGGCGAGTGCCTCGTGATTTATGGTCCCCAATCCACGTTTTCTGTCTTCCAGAAGGCAGCAGAGACGGCCCACGGCTGCCAGGAGCAATTGTAAACAGGCCCCTGACAGCTCGGACACTTTGTTTTTAAATACAGCAAGACTTTTTTCCTCTGGCCCCAGCTGAGAAGCCAACTCCCGGGGACTGTTTAGGAAAGAGCAGACAGGAGGGTTCCCCTGGAAGCCAAGCACGAGGGCCCCGAGGTTTCCGGTGAGATCATCAAAGGCAGCGGATACGTTTATGGCGGAGGAACATCGTTCCTGGGCTCCCCGGGCGCCCACGCCCCTCGTGGCGAGAGGCACAGGACAAGCTGACCGTAAGGCACGTGGCTAAGACAGACCCCATACCAGGGGGCCGGGGAGATTATCTCTTGACGCATCTCCAGAAGTGCTGGAAGGCTGAGGAGTTGATGACACTCACGGCAAGCAGCAGCAGCAGGTACAGGGAGATCATGACGGCGAACCAGTGGCTGGACACCCAGGAGAGCTGACGGCACGCCCTGCCGGAGGGGAGGGGGGGAAAGAGCCACGCTGTCAGGGGGCCGGAGTGATAGCACAGCAGGTAGGGCGTGTGCCTTGCACGCGGCCGACCCGGGTTCGAATCCCAGCATCCCATAGGGTCCCCCGAGCACTGCCAGGAGTAATTCCTCAGTGCATGAGCCAGCAGTAACACCTGAGCATTGCCAGGTGTGACCCAAAAAGCAAAAAAAAAAAATAGTATTTCTCGGGGCTGGAGCAATATCACAGCAGGTAGGGTATTTACCTTGCACTCAGCCAACCCGGGTTCGATTTCCAGCATCCCATATGGTCCCCCAAGCACCGCCAGGAGTAATTCCTGAGTGCAGAGCCAGGAGTAACCCCTGTGCATCACCGGGTGTGGCCCAAAAAGCGAAAAAAAAGAGCCACGTTGTCAGGACAAACAGCTCTTTCCGCTAACATACGACCTGTGGCTAAAGGAAGATAAGATGATGGCAAGCCAGGAACTGAAGCTCTATGCGTGCCCTCGAAAAGCAAGAAGGCGGGGGTTGCGGCCACCATGCCTCGTGCCAGAACATTCCCTGCATGTCCAGAGACAGCTGTGCGGTGAGCTCATCTCCAGGCCGTCTGCTCTAACAAGTGCTCACCCGTCTCACTGGCCAGACCAAGCCAGGCCTCCGCACAGGGTGACAGCACGCAGGGTGTCTGCCCCGACAGCAACAGGTGGTAGGTGACTTAGCAAAAGTCTCTTCACTTGAGACATGTGCTGACTGCGAGCCCAGCTTGGGAAACCCTTTCTGGCCCGCGGGGAGATGACCTAAACCCTCGCAGTGTGCACGGGACAGCCCCGGCAGAGAGAAGGGGTCAGGGATAGAATTTCCGAGCAGCGAGAGTGGGGTGACGCCCGCCCCGTGTCCGAGACAAGGGGAGGGGACCAACCTCACTGACGAAACTCTAAAGCCCGGAAACTTGTTGAAACAGTGGGACATGTGGAAAGGGAGTGGCCTCACCTGCTACTCACCCCCAGGACCCCACCAACATCTGAAGGTGAGCCCTGGCCCCCCGCGAGCCCAGCACGTCCCCCATGACGGGCCGTGGAACGCATCTGCCGCAGGGATCGACACCTCTCCATCGTGGAGAGGAAGAAACAGCACCCCAGGTCCAGAGAGGCACAGTCATCTGCCATTCCCGACAGCGCCAGGGGACGTGCCGCCCTCAGCTGACCAACTCAAGTTTGCAGGCGCGAGTCCCCGGCTTCACCCCGGCCTCAGGTTTTGTATCTACAACTCTTTCCTGAGAACTACCCGGCAGAGCTTCACAGAAACCGACACAAATTGGGGGCTGAGGCTTTTGGGGAGGGGGGGGCACTTGGGCTGATAGCTGGGACACTGTCCACGGCTTTTAATTCTTTTGGATCTTGGGGCCACACCCGGCTGTGCTCAGGGCTTACTCCGGTTCTGCTCTCAGGGATCACTCCTGGCGGTGCTCAGGGACCCTGTGGGATGAACCCAGGGGTAGAACCCAGATCAGCTGCGTGCAAGGCCAGCGCCCTCCCTGCTGTGTTCTCACTCCAGGCCAGGCCTGCCGCTGTCAGCGCCGTTCAGCGGCCCCCAACACCTGGGACCTCCCGGGCCTGTCCTTACCCCTTGGGCTGCTTCTGTGAGTAGACCAGCAGGTACTTCACCCGCAGGAGCTGGTTATTGGTGACCACAAAGTACTTGGGAGGGACGTCGCCCCCCTCGCTGTTCTTGATTCTTGCTCGCCTGCGGTCTATCTCCTGGGAATCTGGAGAAGCAGAGAAAGGCACCGGTGACTGCGTGGGGGGACCCAGAGATCGTGAGACACAGGTCAGCACTCCCCGTCCTAAAACATTAGAATTCGATGACTCCGACGGGCAGATAGGAGAAAGGGCTGGAGGGGTGGGTGCTCGCCCTGCATGCAGCCGGCTCGTAATCCCGAGCATCCCCCAAGCCCCACCAGGAGCGAAAGTGGAGAGTTAGGATAATCCCTGAGCACCATGAAATGTGGCCTGCAATTTTTCTTTGAAAAGCAGCACTTGGGGGCCGGAGCAATTAACACAGCGGGTAAGGGTGTTTGCCTTGCACGCGGCCAACCTGGGTTCGATTCCCAGCATCCCATATGGTCCCCTGAGCACCGCCCGGGATAATTCCTGAGTGCAGAGTGAGGAGTAACCCCTGTGCATCGCCAGGTGTGACCCAAAAAGCAAAAAATAAATAACTAAATAAATAAATTAAAAGCAGCACTTTAGGGCTGGAGTGATAGTACAGTGGGTAGGGTGTTTGCCCAGCATGCAGCGGACCCAGGTTCGATCCCTGGCATCCCATATGGTCCCCCCCGAACACCGCCAGGAGTGATTCCTGAGTGCAGAGCCAGGAGTAACCTCTGAGCGTTGCTGGGTGTGACCCGAAAAGAAGAAGAAGAAAAAAAAGGAGCACTTTAGGGGCTGGAGCGAGAATACAACAGGAGCGGCTTTTGCCTTGCACAAGATCAATCTGGGTTAAATCCCTAGCACCACATACAGTCCCCCAAGCACTGCCAGGAGTAATTTCCAAGCACAAAGCTGGGAGTAACCCACGAGCACTGCCAGGTATGATCCAAAAACAAAGCTAAACCAAAAATCTAGCAGCACTTTAGGGCTAGAGAGATAGTACAGTGGATGGAGTTCTCACCTTGCACAGGGCCAAACCTGGGTTCAATCCCTGGCCCGAGGGGCAGTGCCCTGAGCCCCTCAGGAGAGATTCCTGAGGACAGAACCAGGGGTAAGCCCTGAGCACTACAGAGCACTGCTGGGTGTGGCCCCAAAACTACAACAAAAATTAAAAAACAACACAGTGACAAAACCCTGAAATGTTTCCTTTAGTGACAAAAAAATCAAACCCCCCCCACCAAGTAAATAAAGACCAAAGCAGCTTGACTGGGGCAGCCAGGCTCTGGCTGTCGGCGTGGGAGGCTGGAGCTGCCTTTGGCCTCAGTTGTTTCACATTAGAGACCAGGGCTCGCGGCTCAGCTCAGTTCAGGACACCAGACGGACACTCTGGGTTTGCTGCCTCTGAGAGCCAGTGGCAAGGGCCAGAGGGCAAGTCCTCCCAGGCTGGCACACGCAGGGCCGGGGCCTGACGCCATCTCAGCCTGTCATCCGCTCTCTGGAAGCCCAGGGTGGACCCCCTGGGGCCTCAGCTGCCCCACCCCCCCAGGCTGACACGCCCCGGAGTGGCCTGGAGGGACGGCCTGGGCGCCAGCCTGCCTCGCGTGTCTTTAGTCCTGCACACAGGCCCAGATTATCACGGACCTCCTGGCTCCCTGTCTCCGCTCTGTGGAATCTCGCCTGCGCTGTCCAGTTTGCCTCAAGCACTTGGCCGCTGCGTGCTCAGTCCCTCTAAGCCGCCCGCCCTTCCCTCGCCTCTGCCTGATGAGAAGTGACACGGTTTCCCCAGCGTGGCGGGACCCGGGGCTTGGCCACTCACCCTTCCTCTTCATCTGGCACTTGACGTCCGGGTGGTCGATGACCTCGCACACGGCCACGCAGCTGAGGACAGGGCCCAGAAGGCTCCGCTGCCACCCGAGGCCGTGGGGGCTGTAAATGAGGGCCAGGCTCAGGTCGCTGGTGAGGTAGGTGCCTTCCCCAAACAGGGACGTCTGCAAGGGCAGAGCCAACAGAGAGGAGACGGGTGGTGAGTGCGTGGGGCCCAGCGGGGCTCTGCCCAGGAGCTCACTGAGGCTCATTTGCCCCCGGCAGATGGCATTGGAGGCACTGTGACACATCCAGAGGGTGACGGTCCTCCATCTGTGATGGTTTAACCAACGCTGAATGGAAAACCTGCCGTTGCTGAGGTCAGGCTGGGTGACAGAAGCGCAGCTTTGGCAGCCCACATAGACCCCATTTGCTTCTGGGTCCTACCCGTAGATACTCAGGGGTTACTCCTGGCAGACTCGGGACCATAGGAGACGCCGGGGATCAAACCTGTTTCGTCCGCATGCAAGGCAAGTGCACTACCCACTGGACTATCTCTCTGGCCCCACACAGGCATGCCCCAACAGGCACAGAGTCTTGACTAAGTTAGGCTGATGGCAGGAACTGAGTCAGTATCTGCAACAGCATCTCTCAGACCAGAAACTGCAGTGGGTAGGGCAGGCCGATATGCGGGGCAGGCTAAGTGTCCACTTTATGTGTACTGACCACCAAGAAAACGTCCCCCAATGGAGAAGGCCGGACTGGGAGAGAACTTGAAGGATGGAGCACGTGCTTGGCAGGCAGGAGTCCCAAGATCCCCCCTGAAAGCACCCAGAGCGACCCCTGAACGTACCCAAGTACCACCAGCTATGGCCCCAAAAGTAAAGGGACAGAAAACACTGGAGGGCAGCAGCTCCCTGGTGGTCCCCACGAGCATGGACGCCTGCTGTCATGTGCGGGCGGGAGTGACAGTACAGCAGGAAGGGCACTTGCGTTGCACACAGCCCATGTGGGTTCAATCCCCGGCATCCCATAGGGTCCCTGTGAGCCTGCCAGGAGTGATCCCTAAATGAGGAGCCAGGAGTGAGCCCTGCCGGGTGTAACCCAAAACGGAGAGAGAGGGCTAGAGTGATAGCACAGTGGGTAGGGCGTTTGCCTTGCACGTGGCCGACCCAGGTTTGATTCCCAGCATCCCCTATGGTCCCCTGAGCACCGCCAGGAGTAATTCCTGAGTGCAAAGCCAGGAGTAACCCCTGAGCATCGCCAGGTGTGACCCGAAAAGAAAAATAAAAAACAGAGAGGGAGAGAGAAACAGAGAGAGAGGAGAGACAGAGAGAGAGAGAGAGAAAGACAGAGGAGAGAGAAGAGAGAGGAGATAGTAGAGAGGAAAGAGGAGAGAGAGTAGAAAGAGAGAGAGACAGAGAGAGAGAGAGAGAGAAGGAAAGAAAAGGGATAACTGATTCCTTTTTCTCTTTGATGGAAGGATGATGCTGGGAACTGCCAGGCATATGCTCTAAGTACTTGAGCTCAATTGTTTGGACTCTTAAAGATGAGGGAAGAATGTGCTGGGGCGGACAGAGGGACAGGACAGAGGTCAGGACACTTGCCTGACATGCGGCCAGTCCCCTGGCACTGCCTGGTTCCCCGAGCACCCGAGCACAGGGCCAAGAGTAGCGCTCAGGGACTGCCTGGTGTGGCCCACAGCCCCCAAAGGGAAAGGCCTGGGAGATACGTTAAAGGGCTGGGGTGCATGCTCTCCACGCGGGGCGCAGGCTTGATCTCCGGCACCGCATGGTCCCCCAAGCACTGCTGGCCCACATCAAAAGCTTTAATTTTTTTTTTTTAAGTAAAACAGATTTTATTTGGAGGTTTTGAAGGGAAGGAGGAGGGAGAGAAAGTGGGAGAGAGTGGAGAGTAACGAGCTCAGGAGAGAACCCGGGCTTCTCCAAGGGCGGAGAGAGCCCCTACACACATCCCAGCATTAGTCAGGAAAGCGTGAAAGTACACATCTCTAGAGGGGAGATGTGGGTGACCCATGTGCTCAGGTACCGCATGTGTTTGCCCACGTGGGCACAAGCAGTACATGGGCTCAACATATGCGCCCTTTAAATTTCTTTTAAATTTCTTTTAATGATAGGTATGTTACAGTAAGTTAAAAAGATAGAGCAAGGACACCACCCCCACCCCTTGGTACACCCTCAACTTAAACAAGGGCCAACTGGCAGTGTCGCCGGGTGCTTCTCAAGTCTCAATGAGCGACTCAGTCTCTGGGTGTTTCATTAGTTGGAGGTTTCCATCAGGTGATCTGGAGGGGTGAGGGGGTTGAACTTCCACAATCCAAGCACCAGAGCCATCCACGATGCTGAGGAGAGGGCTGGCTACATACCAGGATCTCCTGATAAACTTGTTTAAAGTTTTGGTTTGGGGACCACACTAGAGAGGCTCAGGGCTTGCTTCTGGCTGTGCACTGGGGAATTACTCCTGGCAGGACTTGGGGCCAGCTGAGATAGTGGGGATGAAATTCAGGCCAGCTGCATGCAAGGCAAATGCCTCCCTGCTCTAATACCTCTCTGGAGCCCTGATGAGCTTCTACAGCAAACTGGAACCTTCTGCAGAGGTCCTCATGCAACTACCCAGGGTTCAGACAGACACTGGGATATTTTTAGGCTCCCCAAATGATTCTAAATGTGCAGCCAAGGTTGGATACCACCTTTATGAAAGAGTTTTTTACGACTCAGAGAATCACGTTATTGCATTATCTCTGCAGTACTATGGAGCACACGCTCACAGTCAAGTGCAGCTACTGGTTCAGCAGGTGCACTTACGTTTCCATAGGATTCCAGGGACGCTGGCATTCCATACATGGTCTTTCTGTCATGCCCCCAGTACACCCCAGGCCGTGGTGCCACCCCACGGCGGCCTCGGACCCACCTTGTTGAGGTGGCAGTGCAAGCCGTTGTGGATGATGGAGTGGAAGTTCTCCAGGCGGCTGCCGTGGAAGGCATAGATGAGCTCTCGCTCGCCTTTGGTCTCGTAGAACTTGGCATTCGCTGGGTCGAAGTACTCGATTTCAAACAGGAAGTTTGGCGCAGGAACGGCCACGTGGGTGGCACGGGTCAGCTTCCGAATCTTCTCGAACTTGAAAACATGAAGGCAGTTTTATATGGGACACTGGGTGCTTTCAGAGCACAAAATAGCCTCCTAAAACCTTGGTCTTAATGCCCCTAGGCTCGGCTCAGAAAGACAACTGGTTTTATGAAAACAAAAACACTGGAGTTGAAGTGATAGCACAGCGGGTAGGGCGTTTGCCTTGAACCAACCCGGGTTCAATTCCCAGCATCCCATATAGTCCCCCGACCACCGCCAGGGGTAATTCCTGAGTGCAAAACCAGGAGTAACCCCTGAGCATCACCAGGTGTGACCCAAAAATCCAAAAAAGAAAAAAAGCAAAGAAGAACACTAATTTAGGGGACAAAGGAATAGTTCAAGGATAACCACATGCTGTACACGCAAGAGGCTTGGGTTTGAGCCAGGGGACCACTTGGTCCTGAGCCCCACTGAGAGTGACCCATGAGCACAGAGCCAGGAATAGCTCCCGAACACTGTCAGGTACGGCCAAAAACACACAAAACAAACCATCCATTTATAAACATAGGTTTATAATTAATCCACGCTTAAAGGTTAAGCCTCCTTTCCTCTGGAGCCAAGGAGCACAGCGGAAGGGCGTTTGCCTTGCATACAGCTGACCCGGGTTTGATCCCCGGCATCCCATATAGTTGACCAAGCCCTGCCAGGAATGATCCCTAAGCACGGAGTCAGAAATAAGACCTGGGCACAGCCGGGTGTGTCTCAAAAATAAACAAAAAATAGGACACCCCACAGACGCCCGTCCGCTGACAGGAAAGAAGGGCAGACAGGCCGGGAACAGCCTCACCCTGGCAGCCTGCAGACAAGGGAAACCAGGTCACAGAGTGCCTGGGCCATGCTGGAACTGGTGTTGGAGTGACTCTTATCCTGTCCCAGCACGCCTCTGGGTGACCGTGACTCAGCCCGCAGATGTACAAAGGCAGACTCAAGCACACCTGAGGGCTGACTCGGGCTCTGCTCTGATAACTCACAATCCAAGGAGGCAAATCATTCTTCTCTATTTAGGGGGACATTTGCCCACCAATGCTCAGGGGGCATATGAGGGGCCAGGGACCAAACCGGGGTCAGCTGTATGCCAAGGCAAGTGCTCCCTCCAGCCCCACCACAATCTCACCTAAGGTGTGGTCAAGGGTCCACATGACCAGAACTGGAGGCTAGTGATTGTGTGTCCTTGTACATGGAACCATGTAGGAAAACCCACAGTACAGCCCATCCATGAAGAAATCAACTATTACTCTCCCTGTTTCATGACTGTGGAAACGGGGTTGCTAAAACGCACCCTGCAGGACTGAAGCGATATTACAGCGGGTAGGGTGTTTGCCTTGCACACAGTGGACCCTGGTTCGATTCCCAGCATCCCATATGGTCTCCCAAGCACCGCTAGGTGTAATTCCTGAGTGCAAAGTCAGGAGTAACCCCGTGCATAGAAAAAAAAAAAAACACCCTGCAAACAACTCAAGGTCACGCGCAGCCAGTCGAAAGGAGCATGGCAGTGCAATGTGCAAACAAGGTCCCGGGCCCCACTCCCGACACACAAGCAGCTTCTCTGGGTACCAAGGGGGAGGAATCTGCATCTTCAACCAGTCACCACGGTGGAAGGGCACCAGCCCTGCATCCTACAGAGCAAAGTCTCACCTCCGACTTCCCTGCACTGTGGATCGCCAGGGCCTTTGAAGATAAAATCCAGCCCACCAGGTCCCAGGCCCGTCTGTCTCTGTGGCCCGAGGCCTGGAGAAGTTCTCGAAGGTTGGGTAACTTGCTAGCATCAGCGAGCTGTAGGGAGGAAGACACTCTGTTAGCTGGATCCATAACACAGAGAGCCGCGCCCTCTAGCGGTGATGCAGGGAATGGCGCCTCCCAGTCTCACCAGCATCCTTTCCAAAACACCACCAAGAATGCTCTCAAGCTGACAGGTTCACTTATGTTTGCTTTCATTTTGGGGGCCTACATCTGGTAGCGCTCAGAAGCCTACGTGGCAACTGGGCTGGCTGCATGCCAAGGAAGTGACTTATCCACTATACTATTTCTCCAGGGCCTTAAAAAAATTTTTTTAGGCACTATGGTAAAGTTTCATGAAACATTCCAGCACCAAAACCTTCACCAGTGTCTGCATCCTGCCACCACTGGCCCGTGTGGTGGCTTCCTATAAGCTCAGTTCCTGCTGCCTTCGGGCATTTGTTATTTTCCCCTTACTCGGCATTTTCATATCCCATCTCAGAGATCGTTGTGTCTATCCCTCTCCAGACTCATCCACACACTCATCGAAACTGCATGATTTCATCTTATGAAGATTATTTTATCGTTCATTTGACTCCAAACCCACATTCTACGCCAGGAGGTGTTTGCTGCGGGAGTATTACTGCCCGATTACAGGTACCACCTGGCAGGGGCTGCCGCTAACACCTGGCATACACTTCAACACAAGTTAACAAAGCAGGGCTGGAGAGATAGCACAGCGGGTAGGGTGTTTGCCTTGCACGCAGCCAACCCAGGTTCGATTCCCAGCATCCCATATGATCCCCAGAGCACCGTCAGGAGTAACCCCTGTACATCGCCGGGTGTGACCCCAAAAACAAATAAACAAAAAAGTTAACAAAGCCCTTTCCCAAAACTCCACCAGGAGTCCAGCTCCTGGAGCACCTGTTTCCCTGGAGGCCAGATAAAGCCAGGAAGGCATCTGCAAAATGGCCACGTGGCTTACGGGACTCAAACAGTACAGGGGGCAGGGTGCTTGTTTGCACAAGGCCAACCCAGGTTTTTGTTTGCACAAGGCCAACCTAGTTTCCATCCCCAGCATCCATATGGTCCTGAACCTGCCCAAGAGTAATCCCTGAGCACACAACCAGGAGTCAGCCCAGAGCACCACTGGGTATGGCCGAAAAAAAAAACCCAAAAAATGGTGAACTTTAGCTTGACAACATTTTTTTTTCTTTTTGGGTCATACCCGGCGATGCACAGGGGTTGCTCCTGGCTCTGCACTCAGGAGGGAGTTACTCCTGGCGGTGCTCAGGGGACCATATGGGGTGCTGGGAATCGAACCCCGGTTGGCTGCATGCAAGGCAAATGCCCTACCCGCTGTGCTATCTCTCCAGACCCTTGACAACATTTTTAGTTTAACCATAAGTCATGTGATAACTGGCACTTTGGGGCCTACCTGGAAGCCCTGGGTGTGGCTAAGTGGGATAGCACCCGTCTTGCAAATGTGAAGCTCTGTGTTCAAGCCCTGGACCCCCCCCCACACCAACCCGTGTAATCTCCGTTGTCATAGGTGACCCCGAGATATCCATCCCAACAACAAACGGAAAAGGGGAAACAAAATCCCAGCACCGGGGCCAGAGCTAACACGGGCGGCAGAACAGGCAGGCATGGAGGAGGCCCTGTGTGATCCCAGCACCCCATTAGCCCCAGCTGGCGGCACCAGGTGGCGCCACTCACAGAGAGCCATGGGGTGCAGTGACGCCCTGACAGCGTGGGTGGGCAAAGTCAAAAGTCCACATCTCAAAACAGCCTGAAGGCATGGAGGCATTTGGGCCAGGAAGCCAGTGAGAAAGCCAGAGACTTTTTTTTTTCTTTTGGGGTCACACCTGGCGATGCACAGGGGTTACTCCTGGCTCTGCACTCAGGAATTACTCCTGGCGGTGCTCGGGGGACCATATGGGATGCTGGGAATCGAACCCGGGTCGGCTGTGTGCAAGGCAAAAAATGCTCTACCTGCTGTGCTTCGGCCCAGAAAGTCAGAGACTCTTTTTTTTTTTTTTAATTTTTATTAGTGAAACACCATGAGGTACAGTTGTAGACTTACAAATTTTTGTGCTTGGGTTTCAGTTATACAATGATCGAGTACCCATCCCTCCACCAGCACCCATCCTCTACCACCACGGGTCCCAGCATCGCTCCCCCCCGCCATCCCACCCTGCCTCTGTGGCAGGGCATTCGCTTTTGTTCAAGTCAGACTCTTGAGAGAGGAATTCCAGGCCCAAGAGCATCTCTCTGGCCCTCCAAGAAGTAAGGCCAGACCAAGCACCTGAACAGTTCCAAGTAGGGGGCACAGTCTGGGAAGACCCTTATCAAAGCCTTAAGAAAGCAGCAAAGCATTCTCCATCCTGGGGGTTCGCTGGCATCTCAGCTGGAGCTGTGCCCCCCATCCCTGTGATGCTCTCTCCATCCCAGCCCTCCCAGTCCTCCTTTTCCCTCAGTCTCTGCTGAGCCCTCGGAACCCGGACGGGGTCAGGACTAGCTCTTCACTTCCCGCAAAGAGCAGATTCCTCGCTCCATCCCAAGTGCCCGACTTCCCAGAAACCGGATGGCGGGAGCTGGAGCAATATCACAGCAGGGATGGTGTTTGCCTTGCACACAGTCAACCCGGGTTCGATCCCTGGCACCCCATATGGTCCCCTGAGCCCCGCTAGGAGTGATTCCTGAGCACAGAGCCAGGGGTAACATCTGAGCACCAATGGTTGTGTCTTCTCAAAAAAAAAAAAATACTGGGTGGAGGGTACCAGCCCCACACCACAAAGATCGAAAGAACCTCGGCCGAGTGGGGTCTCAACCCACAAGGGCACTGGGAGCTGGCCTAATCAGTCCTGACCCTCCCAGGCCCGCGGTGGGCAAAGCAGGCGGCAGTACTAATAGCCCCCTCACTCCCCCTTCATATAAGTCACCCCCAAGAAAGCGAGCGAGACATGGGCCACTCTGCAGCCTCTGCCTGGGGACAGAGGCAGGACTGAGCTGAACTGGACATGCAGGCTGCAGTCAGTACATGCCGAGCACGCACTGGGCCCTGGGTGCACCCCCACCATCCCACCAGGCTCATGCCACAAGGCCGTAAAGGCCGGGGGGCCCAGGCCTGAGCACTACCCAGGAGCAGCCCCCAAGCAAACGGCCATCTGTGGGAAGAGAAGCAGCTCGGGTGATGAGAGGTGAACCAGGGACAGAGCCCGCTGCGGCGGGCAGAGGTGGGGGGCACAAGGAGACCTCACGACTGTCTAGCTTGAGGAGGGCAGGCCAGGGGCCACAGTCTCCCAGAGCCTGCGTGCAGATGCCATGATGGGGCTGGGTTTGGGGTTGCTTGATTTTGGGGGGTTGGGGGTTTAGTTTTGAGTCTGGGCCACACTCAGCGGTGCTCGGGGCTTCATCCTGGCTCTGTGCTCGGGGATCACTCCTAGTGGGACGCCGGGAGCTGAACCTCAGGACAGCGGCATGCAAGGTAAGCTCCCTCCCCACTGTACTATCTCTCCAGTCCCCAAGGTTGGCTTACTGGGGCCTCTCGTGGCGGTGCTCAGAGACCCAGCTGAGCTGGGGCAAATACCGGGGCCCCCCACCAAGCACGCCGGCTTTCTGCACCCTTACAGGCCCCACTGACTGTGAGTTCCCTGAGTACCGCCAGGAGTAATTTCTGAGTGTAGAGCCAGGCAGGCCTCATTGCTTGAGGCGAGGTCCCTAACTCACCAGCTCAGGGAGGACTGAGCGGGCATCGCTAAGCTGGCAGGGACGGAGCCGCTTGATACAAGTGAGATACTTGGAGCTGGAGTGATAGCACAGTGGATAGGGTGTTTGTCTTGCACACAGCCGACGCAGGTTCGATTCCCAGCATCCCATATGGTCCCCTGAGCACCTCTAGGAGTAATTCCTGAGTGTATGAACCAGGAGTAAACCCTGTGCATCGCCGGGTGTGACCCAAAAAGCAAAAAAAAAAAAAAAAAAAAAAAGAGATACTCACTGACCCTCTCCACCAAGAGGCTATCGCCTTCCCAGGAAGGCTGAGAAGTGAGGGGGCTGCACGGGAAGTGGGGTCCCACCGTGGGGCTCTCCACCTCACTGTGCATTGGCTGCTATCTCTTTCAGTCACAGCCTTACGACGGACACATCACACAGTCTCTCTGTCTTTCTCCCAGTGCACACTGCACATGTACACGCCTGGGATTCCATCTTTGGGAACTGAGGATGAAAAGGTAACACGAGGGTCTGTGAGTACAGTGGGTAAAGCACTGGCCTTGCTCACAGCTGATCCGGGTTTGATCCCTGGCACCCCAGACGGTCCCCCAAGCCCGCTAGGGGTGATCCCAGAGCACAGAGCCAAGTGAAGCCCTGAGCACCAATGGGTGTAGCCTCCAAACCAAAGTAAGCACTGTAGCACTGTTGTCCCACTGTTCATCGATTTGCTCGAGCGGGAACCAGTAACATCTCCATTGTGAGACTTGTTACTGGTTTTTGGCATATCTAATACGTCACAGGTAGCTTGCCAGGTTTTGCCGTGCGGGCCGGATACTCTCGGTAGCTTGCACGGTTCTCTGAGAGGGATGGAGGAATCAAACCCAGGTCGGCCTTGTGCAAGGCAAACGCCCTACCCGCTGTGCTACCAAAGTAAATAAATAATAAAAGAGTGGTCTGATAATAAAAGCGGAAAATTTTTACCTTGAGATATCAAACATGTAACCTAATTGGGCTTGTTTACTGACCAGCAGACTTGCTTCTGAGCAAACCGATAAACAGGAGGGGAATGTTAATCACATGTTCTCTGCAAATAAACAAAACCACCCCAATGCCCAGACTCCACTTCAAACCAATTTCATCAGATTCTCTAGAGGTGTGGGGCTCAGCCAGCCGCTGCTCTGCAAGCCACCAGCCAACGCTAACAGCCTGTTTTCCCATCTGGGAAGACGAGTCAGAATCTTCCTTTGGAAGGCTGGTCAGCCTCTGCGCCGGCAGTTTCATGGTGAGGAATTTGTCTCCAGGAAATAACTAGAGGCTTAAACAGTGATGAACGCGAAGGG